TAGATCTCCTACAAAGTAAATGAAATGAATTAGCAGCTGCTGGTGTTCAGATGCGATGGATGGCAAGCTGTGAGGAGGGTATTTATTTGGGAACCCTGTGCAGGGACGTACTGCCAGCAGCGGGAGGTGGAGGCCATCACGGAGGGCGTGGAGGAGGACGAGGGCTGCTGCTGCTGCGAGCCGGGACACCTGCCCCACGTGCTGTCCTTCAATGCGGCCTTTGGGCAGCGCTGGCTGGCCTGGGAGGTCCTGGTCACCAAGTACGTGCTGGAGGGCTACAGCATCACTGACAACAGCGCCGCCTCCATGCTGCAGGTGTTCGACCTGCGCCGCATCCTCACCACTTACTACGTCAAGGTAGCTTCAAGAATCATCTGTTCTGTCAAAAAAGGGCTCCAAAACCATGGGAATATGAAAATATTCAAGCAGCATTATTAATCTGCTCAGATTAAACACTAAATTAAATTTATAATAATAATGATTTGCTTGTATAGAAACACATATGGAGGTGTGGTGGGAGGGGGGAACAATATGTTGCCCAAAGTTTAAGCAAGTGTAAGCATAGTATATCAGAGTAGGCTGAGGAACAAACTGCCATAACCTCCTGCACCCGAAATTGTGATTTGGTCTTCTCAGTCAGCTGAAATGCTCTGAAACATTGCTCCAGAGTGGCTTATTTGAAAATAAGTGCTTACACACAGAAAGCGGGGTTCAGCAATACAACAGCATGCATGTGATGCAACCTACTAAGCCACAAAGGCTAGTGGACAGAAAGGAAGAAATTGGCATGGGCAGTATGCGGTTCACATGACTTTTCTTCTACGGTGTGGATTTTGCACACTGATTCAAGAGTGCATTATTCATTTCCAGACGAACATCATATTAATACTACCTCCAGGAGTAGGATTAATCCAGCACTAAAACCAATGCCTCAATTCTCAATACTGTGTATGTGTCCACTGTGAGAATTTTATTGGTGATACAGGTCATCCCAAGATTTGAAACAAAAACAAAGACAAAGCACCCCGAAATTAAGGACCCCTAGATATAGTGGAAGTGTCCAACTGCACATATGTTCCTCATTGTGGCAGTTCATCCTGTCACCATACAGGATTGCTCACGTTCTCCACAGCTCCCTCCTTATAACCGGGAAGTGCCCAGCAGCTCAGTGCGTTTCGGGTGGTTGTTCCGACAGGGCATCATCTACTACGTGACCACCTCAGACAAGCTGGAGGAGTGGCTGGGCAATGAGGCCATGCAGGAGGGGCTCCAGTGCTGCAGCGACCGCAACTACGTGGACCTGGACCCCACCTTTAACCCCAACATCGACGAGGACTATGACCACCGCCTGGCCGGCATCTCCCGAGACAGCTTCTGTGCCGTCTACCTCAGCTGGATCCAGTACTGCTGCTCCCGCCTGGAGAAGGTACTCGTCCCGTAGCTGGTTACCACCGATGCCTTTCCTTCGGGTGGTGGGCCTGGGAGGGCTTGTTTTTTCCTGACGGTTTAAAACCGTTAGTCGCCTGGGTGTACATGCCTGCATTTCGTTCATCCTCCTCCTCCTTGTCAGTGTGAAAGAGCGCTCTTTAGTGACAAAGGCACGTGGGCTGCTTCTCCTGAAAATGGTTCCTGTGGGATATTGCACATTTGCTGACAAACATGTCAGTCTTAAATACCCGACACTATCAAACGTTTTAATGCCACCTTGGAAACAAACACAAACAGTAGAGGGCAGTGCTGGAAAGGATTTGAATTGTTTTGATGTTTTAACGTTCAGTATACAAATTCCTCACATTCTGGCTGCTTTAATTTTTTCCAGTTTTAACAGCAAAAAAAAGACACCATGTTTAAAGATTAGCTACTATTATTATGGACTTTGCAAACTTGCTTTTTAAATTTAATTTAATCTGCAAGTGGAATACAGTTTCTTATATTTGTGCTCATTGTTTTCTTTATTGTTATCTTATTGTTATCTTATTGTTTTCTTTATATAGCTGTTCTTGAGTATCGCATTGATGTGAAATAGGAATCTTATTTTGGACAGGCCGTGTAAACTCAGTAGTGCTAGCTTGAGACTGTGTTTTATCTTGGCATGACTCAGGGTATTTTGACTGAACACTTTGTGTTCAGCTTGAGTTGTATGAAACCTGATAATACACTGAGCTTACAGTAATTACATTACAGTACCTGTAACCAAAGACATGGCATTTAAAATCAGAGGCCATTCATCCCATGTAGACCATTTGGTTGGTAGTTAGTATCTTGGGTAATAAGCATCTCATTGACCATTTTCTTGAAAGAACCCGTTTGAGGGTTGAGAGTAATCTTTATCTGAAACTTCTAGGTTGTTTAAAGGAAATTAAACATGTTTTGGGCTAACTTGCTGCATACTCCAACAAACCTTTGTGTAAAGAATTGCCCCTGGTTTTCTGTTATTCCACATAGTTTGCATTGGGTTTACTGGTTTGTGTTTCACTGTTCAAGACCTGGTATTACTGCTTATCCCAAGTAGGCCATTGAGAGTGATCTTTGTGGAATTTATCATGCTTCTCTTTCAACCTTTAAGTTGAAAAGAGAGAAGTAGAAAAAAAAACCTTATTGTTTTTGACCTTTTAGTTTGAAACCATTTTTAGGTTGTTTAAAAAAATACCCTTTGATTTATATTTTGTATTTTTCCTGATTAACATTTCACTCTGCCAGTCCGAGATACACACACATATAGACAACTTGTTTTGATGATAATTCTCAGCCCTGTGGCGGTGAAGCTGGTATTCTTAATGAAAGTGAATTAGGTGTCAGAGGAGATTATTACAGCTGTAATTGGCTATGATGTGGGATGTAATTGAATGAAAATTGATTTGCTCTGTGTGTTAGCCTGTTCAGCCATTGGGTATTACTATTAAGTGCTAGAAAATGTAAAAACCATGTTGTATGCAGTTGTATATACTCGGGCTCACAGTTCATGCCACATTGCATTAATATGGAGATATACTCTGCTGTGATTCAATGTCATCGTTATGGTGTGCGCAAATGAGACTGTCATGCTTAATTTAACACCTTACGCCGAGCCAGGCTTGAGCCCTGGTCCGTCGAAAAAAGGCTTGTGTATGGCCTCGGCGCTTGCCCGTGACGAAGCTGTGTGTCTGTGCGTCTCCACAGCCCCCAGCCTGTGACAAGGACTCGGCCCTGGTAACGCTGTCCTACGGCCTGTGTGTGCTGGGCAGGAGGGCACTGGGGACTGCCTCCCACCACATGTCCAGGTAACCAGTTCACAGACCGTGCTCCTGCAGGAAAGGATCAGGCTTTGTCAGCGCCTTGGCTTTTCCTGGCCGGGCTGTCCAGATCCTTCTTTTTGTCCAACAGGGGTTGTCGCCCAGTAGTAGTATGAGCCATATCCACATGAGCCAATATTTGTATCAATAAATCAAAGTAAGAGCTTAAGTATGAGTGACAACCATGGGGGACCGTGTGTGACACTTCCTGTCTGTTTTTCTCTTGCAGTGAAGTGCAGATTAAATGAATATATTCCCCAGACTATTTTGTATAGGAGTGTGGTCTCTACTGGTCTCTACCGAATTAATGGGTCCTATGTGCTGGGTTTTTCTATAGTAACCTGGAGTCTTTCCTGTATGGGCTCCATGCCCTGTTCAAAGGGGATTTTCGAATCTCCTCTGTCCGGGATGAGTGGATATTCGCGGACATGGAGCTGCTGAGGAAGGTGGTCGTTCCGGGGGTCCGCATGTCTCTCAAGCTGCACCAGGTAAAGGGGTGGCCTCACTGCTTCACTGCCAAACAGCCCGACGACCTCACAGCCTCACTGCTTCACTGCCCGACGACCTCACACTCTCGCTGCCACACTGCCCAATGACTTCACAGTCTCACTGCCACACTGCTCGACGACCTCACAGTCTCACCGTCACACTGCCACACTGCCTGACAGCCTCACAGCCTCACTTCCACACTGCTGCGCCGACAGTGCTCTCTCCCTACAGCTGCTTTAATTCTCCAAAGAAGAATGAATCAGCTGGTGGGTGTGAAACCCATTCAGGGAACCCCTTCTGTAGGTACAGCTCAATGATCCAACAGCTGGATCAGGACAGATATTCATAGTGCTGTTCTTCAACAGTGGTAAGATTTGTCATTTTACTAAGATTGCACACACCTGTAGATATACAAGTCTGAAAGACCACCTATTAGGACTTCAGCAGCCATAAAGCAAAGGCAATGAGTGGGTGAGTGGGTTTAATAAGTTGAGGAAGACACTCTTTCCTCTGTGGAAGGCAGCAACTCATTAACACATAACACATGTGTGAGCTAAATTAGAATCAGCCAGCATGTGTGCAGTCCATACCTGGTCCAAAGTTTGTACAACAAAACTGTTGTAACTAATAAGCTTTTGCAGGAAGTGGCCGAGGACTGATGGTCTGGGTTTTCTTATTGTTGATTTTCCTTGCCTGCTTCTTACCCCCAGGACCACTTCACCTCCCCTGATGAGTACGAGGAGCCGGCGGTGCTGTACGAAGCCATCTCCACCCACCAGCAGACCCTGGTGATCGCGCACGAGGGCGACCCTGCCTGGCGCAGCGCCGTGCTCTCCAACTCCCCCTCCCTACTGGCGCTGCGCCATGTGATGGACGAGGGCACCAACGAGTACAAGATCATCATGCTGAACCGCCGCTACCTCAGCTTCCGTGTCATCAAGGTGTGGGCACAATGCCGGGAGTAAGAGTCCGGTTGCACGGCAGTGTGTGCCATGCCAGATTTGCGGTGGCTCTGTGGCTAAGGATCTGCGCCTGTGGTTGGGAGGTTGCTGGTTCGAATCCCGTGGCCGGCAGAGGAATCCTGCCCTGTTGGGCCCCTGAGCAAGGCCCTTAACCCTAACTGCTCCAGGGGCGCTGTAAGAATGGCTAAGCCCGCGCTCTAATCTTATCTTATCTTTTATGCTGCAGGCTCCGGGAGAACTCACACAAGGTGTTTCTTGTCAAGTAGACGGAGACAGCGATTTTTTTCTGGGTCTTTGGTTTTGTGACTGCAGCTTCTAAAATTATCTGAATGAGCTCAAACGTCTGCGTTTTTCCTCGACAAGGTGTACAATGCACAGAACTGTTGTTACACCAAAAATATAAGTGAATATTTTGTATATTGTGAAGTGCTTTTCCTTGGCAAGCTTAACAGTGGTAAAAATGCTTTTGAGTTTCGCCACACTTAAATGTTTTCTTCATTGAAATTGACTTATTGGAGCTGAATCATTGTTCTATGCATATATCTCATTCATTTTCCTTGAAAAATGTATTATACTGATAGTTTTCCATATTTAAAAAACATTTTATTTTGCAACAGTGAAAATGTAGTTACCTTTCTAGCAAAGGACGCTTTTTTTCACGCTGCCAGAACATCGGGCCCTCAAGGCTTCAGCGGAGTAGAGCAGTAAGGGATCACTGTTGCCCCTGTGCTGCAGGTCAATAAGGAGTGTGTTCGTGGACTGTGGGCGGGGCAGCAGCAGGAGCTGGTCTTCCTGCGCAACCGCAACCCCGAGCGCGGCAGCATCCAGAACGCCAAGCAGGCCCTGCGCAACATGATCAACTCCTCCTGTGACCAGCCCATCGGCTACCCCATCTACGTCTCCCCGCTCACAACCTCCTACTGCGACTCCCACGGCCAGCTGCGCCACATCCTGGGGGGCCCCATCAGCATAGGAAACATCCGCAACTTCGTGGTCGGCACCTGGCACAGGTACCGGGGGGGGGGAAGGCGGAGATGGGGCACGGGGGAAGGGGGCAGGGCTGTTGATCTGTGGGTGACGGCAGTGCGTGAGCAGGGCTGCTCTCTCCCCGCAGGCTGAGGAAGGGCTGTGGAGCCGGGTGCAACAGCGGCGGGAACATCGAGGAGTCAGACGGCGGGGGCGGGGCCTCGTCGGGCAGCGGCAGCGGGGCGGGGCTGGACCCCCAGCAGAGCGGCTTCTCTCAGGGTGGGGGGGGCGGCGGCCTCGCGCCCCCCGTGTCCTACCAGCCCCACGCCCTAGGTGAGTCTGGTCCTTCTAGTGCCGCGCTGCAGTCTGGGGCGACCTGGCGTCCACACATGAACTCATCTCTGAGATCTGAGATCTGGTCTACACAACCTGGGACATCAGCTTAATGACTTAATTAAGGTCTAATTGGTCCAGTTCATCCCTCCTCTGTGGCTTTACAGTGTTGGTGATTAAAAAGACCCAGAACTCTAGAGACTTGATTTGGAAGTGTTTCTGAGAGCATGCAGGGATTACTTCATGTGCTTCTTGAACCGTGTCAAATTGAGACTGACAGTTGAAGACACTAGCAGTTTAACCGAGACACTATAGGTTAAGTAGTTTAGAGCAGTAATAGTAATTTATGACATACCTCTCAGACCACAGAAGATTGTATAGATTGTATATGTGGCTTGAAGATAGAGCTGAGATCCGTTACTCCAGTACTTGGTTCTTTCTCTAGACTACACTTCTCGAAGCCCTTGTTGATGGGTTTTCTGCCAGCGTCACATTTTAACCTTTAGCAGTATGCGTACAATCAGTATTTTTGAGGTTTTGGTGGTATAAAAATTTGCATTTACAGTGGATCAGTATATTTAGGAGGTGAAAGTTTCTGTAACACAATCCCCCCTTATCCACTGTGCATTTCTGAAAGTTATTCTTCTGTTGCCCTGACTTCCGTTCATTTTTCAGACTAAATGTCCTGATTTTGCTCATCCCCTTGTCTCAAAGTCCTCGTTTTCGATTAAAATGCCTCGTTTTAGAACTGTTAAACCGCAGCTCCTTGCAGCCCTCTTGAAAAGGCAGCCGTGCCTGGCCTGACCCCGTCCTCCCTGTCTCCCAGGCACGAGCCAGAGCTCCCAGTCGGTGCAGTCCGGGCTGGTGCGGCACTCCCCGGCACGCGCCTCGGTGGCCAGCCAGTCCTCCTGCCGCTACAGCAGCAGCCGCCACTCGTCCCTGCGCACCTCGGCCACGGGCCTGGAGCCCTGCCGCCGCTCCTCCACCAGCCAGCTGTCCCTGCGCGCGCTGCCCACCTCCATCCAGCTGCGCCTGGCCCCCGACCCCGCCGGCCCCTCGGCCAGCCTGTCCAGCCACAGCATCCCGCCCTGCAAGAGGCACACGCTGGCGGGGCTGCTGGGCAGCGAGGGGCTGGGCGGCCCCGAGCCGGCGCCAGGGGGTCATCTGGCACTGGGGTGCGTCAGCCGCCGGGAGGACATCTCCTACAGGGTGCAGGTGAGCGATCGCCATTACCCGCTGCCCACACGAACCCAATCTTGTGCTGTTGAAACACCACTGAATGACTGCCGCTCTTAACTGGGGCTCGGCCAGTGCCTGTAGCAGCATGTGGAATAGAGTCCCTTGTTAGCCCACATCTGACTAGTGTATGACTTGGCAGGACTCTACATCTAAAACAAGCAGCTCCTCAGGATCTGCATCTGAACTGGTATGCTTCCTAATAAGTAACCAGGAGAGAAGTAAGCAAACTCATTTATAGTGAGGAAAAGCAGAAACCTGTTAAATACTGTCGCAAAGCTCATCTTAGTGTTCTTCTCAGGTTTAGACATTGAAAGTTTTTCCACTACTGTTTACACCCCACCTATTGCCTGTGTGATCTATGGGATTGAGCTGTGCTTGGATATAGTGACTGACAGAGCTCTAAAATCAAGGTGGCTGCTGCGATTGCTCTGGCTCTGAGCTGATGGGACATGTCTTGTTTGCCTCCAGATTGTGGATGTCGGTCAGGTCCTGGAGACAATCAACCTGTCCAAGCGCAAGGAGCTGCAGTGGCCTGACGAGGCTATGCGTCTGAGAGCCGGGCGGAGCTGCTGGAGGGACTGGAGCCCCCAGGAGGGCATGGAGGGCCATGTGAGTCTGGAGTCCACTGGTGCCAGCAGGATTGGGTTAATGGGCTTGACATTGACATTACTGTGTAGCTCAGGCACCAGGGGTTCTGTACAGTATGTTGCATGTATATGACCATGCCCCTTGCAGAGCGTTCATGCCACCTTAGAAGTATTTGATTTGATTGCAGTCTTACAAACGTAAAATGTGAAAAAGAAAGTACACCCTCTTTCAATTCTATGGTTTTATATATCAGGACATAACAAAAAGTCATCTGGTCCTTACCAGGTCCTAAAATTAGGTCAATCTAACCTCAGGCGACAAACAACACACAACTGATTTCACTATGTCATTATTTATTTAACAAAAAATGAGCCAACATGCAGAAGCCATGTGTGAAAAACGAAGTATACCCTATGATTCAGTAGCTTGTAGAACCACCTTTAGCAGCAATAACGTGAAGTAATCGTTTTCTTTATGAGTTTATCAGTCTCTCGTTGTTTTGAAGGACTTTTTGGCCCACTCTTCTTTACAACATTGCTTCAACATTTGTAAATAATCCTTCTCACTGTAGAATGATGGATTTCAGATTGTTTGGAAAGGGCCTTATAACCCTTCCCAGATTGATGAGCAACAATTGCTTCTTTGAGTTGACGTCTTTTCTCCTTGGCATGGTGTTAACACACACCTGAATGCTCCAGACCACCAAATGGTCTGCATTTATAGAGGTAGTCACACTTCTGATGATCAACTAATCAAGTGTTTTAGCACCTGGCTGCTAATTACCTTCTTAATTCCTATGGAAGCAGAAAGTGTGTACTTAATGTTTCCCACATTGTTTCTGCATTTTGGCTTACTTTTTGTGAAATCTGTTGTGTGTTTGCTGTTATTTGAGGCTAGATTTGTCTAATTATGGAAGCTGGTGAGGACCAGACAATTGTTATTTATGCCCCGATATGTAAAACCATTGAATTGAAAGAGGGTGTACTGCATTTTTCATCTGACTGTATAACTAAAAATGTCACTTATCAGACTTTATGAACAAGCATTTTGGGTGTTCTGGCCTAAATAGCCTGTGATCAGTTAATACTTTGTGTTGGGAATATTGTAACCCTGTTTTACTTCTTTTAATCATGTACAGCATGAGGTGGGATGTGCTGTCTTATTCTTTAAAGGCTGCTGCTGCACAATTCTTAATTGCAGATTGTAATATGTTAGATCAGGTATGCAAGAGTTTTTTTTTCCAATTGCTTACTTTCTAGAACTGAAGTTCAAACTTGTTTAAATAATTTGGAATCACCAGTTAAAGACTCAGAGCTGTCAGATTATGACTTTTCTGATGATGACAGATGATCCTTCTCTGTCATTCCCATCTGTCAGATCTAATGATTTTGCAAACACTACTAGGTGCAAGGTACAGTCAAACAGAGTTAATACCCAGTCTTGGCAAAGGCTTGTGGGAACACAGAAGTATGTTGTTGAAGTTGACATTCTGGCTGAATGTCAATGGCCTCCTCTTGTTTACAGCCTTATCAATGTTCTTATGTAATTGTGTGCCCCATGTTGGGGAATCCTGATCACAGACAGCTACTGATGTGACCCACAGTTGAACTGTCAATATCTGGGGCCATAAACCCAACTCATCCCACCTTTACTGGTTCAGCTGCTCAGAAACCCAGATGACATTTTAAAAAGCGGTCAAAGTTCAGGTTATTTTATTAGTGTTTTCTGTTTAAAGATCTGATTTCAAATGACAGGAGCACTGCCTTACAAATGTCTGTCCTACACTTAGAAAACAACACGTTTAGCAGTAGTGGCTTGATTTACTAAACTGTGCTTTGCTTCTACTTCCTAGCTATGGTTTTTGATGCATTTAGAGCGATAGGATGTAGTCCAGATAAACCAGAGTGAGCACACAGCAGTTGCTATCTGATCTGTGAATACTCTCATGTCTATTTTTAAATCTCAGATAAAAGCAATCATTTTGGTTCAGTTCAAGAAGTGCTTACTTGTAATTGAATCTATAATGCATATAGATTTAATGGAACAAAAAACAACAACAGCAATGTTGATTTCTGTTAATGACGATGAAAATTATGAAAATTTGGAAGTTGAATTACTATGGTATTAAAGTGGAAAACAGTCAGTGTGACAACTTTGTTTGAAATCAAAATAGCAATAGATAGGAATTTAACACAACAGGGTATATAACGTGACTGTCCACAGCTGTGTTTTCAACGTAAAGGATCAATCATGCCGATACTGTCCCCACCTAGGAAATATGCATGTGTGGTTGCACCATGAGTTGCAGCAGAAAGTGACCCTTGGGTATTTGAGAACTAAACACAAACTTTATTTCTAGAATTGATGGTTGAAAAACAAAAAAAACATTGACCCAAATGTAATTATCTTGAACTGTGTCAATTTGCAGACAGATCTTAAACCAGTGGATCTTATCTGTAGGTACTGGTTGCTAGGTTTCTGTTTTAACCACAGTTATTTTTATTTCAAAAGCCTGGGTTGGCTTCCTTTAAAGACCAGGGCTTGCTTGTTGTATATTTGCACTGCACAGAGTACCAGAATGAAACACTTTATGAATTGTTCTATTAAATGCTGAATTAGACATCTATTAATTGCTGTCCTACTCTAGAATTGAAAGGTTTTTAATTTGTTAATGGACAAATAGTTAGATTTGTTCTGTATTAATCCTAAAATCAAAGCTGTACTGAATGAAGTCATGATGGGAGAGATGCATCTGTCCTTTGTGAAGTGTTTGTGAGGAGCTGTTCATCAACGGGTTTCTCTTCTGGCAATGGTGGCAGAGGCAAACAGATTAGGATAAATAAATTAATCTTTAGGTTAAAAGGGTATCTGTTTTGTGCAAGTATAGCCTTGAAAGTGTTGACACAGGGTAAATTTGCAGATGCAGATTAATAATAGCACTAGATTTTCCTAAATTTGATTGTCTAGGATTAGTGAAAATAACAGTTTATGAAGTCACTGGTTTGTTCTTTCATTTTTTAGTGGCAGGGCTACAGATTGAATCAATGCATCAATTCCTATACTACGTGATAGTTAGTGAAGGCATTTTTCTTGCTTAGAACCCCCAGATTTGGAAATGTTGCAATTTGCAGGTGAGACAAAGTTTAATATAATCCAAACCTGTGTCAGATGAACACACATAATTTTGCAAAGGGATTATGCATTTTACTTAAATCGCCAACCTGGACTCTCCAAAAAACGTACTTTCGAAAAAAGTCATTTTGTGTGCCAGTATCTGACAAAGTATAACAATGCTCTTGAAGTCTAACACTAAGCTTGTGAGTTTAGAATAAGTACTGCTCAAGAAACCAGCTCTTGTCTGGATAGTACTACCCCTGCTCTTCACTAACCTAGGGCATTTCCGAGGGATGTCTGCAGAGAACAAAAAGCACATGCCCCTCTTTCGAGACAGAATTTCGGCCTGTAACAGTCTGCCTCTTCTTCTAGGTGATTCACCGCTGGGTGCCTTGTAGCAGAGATCCAGGCAGTCGTTCCCACATTGACAAAACCATCCTCCTGGTGCAGATCGAAGACAAATTCGTGCCCATCGTCGAGACCGGGGTCATAGAGCTGGGTGCAGAAGTGTGAAGTGTGAGCACCTCTGAACACGGAGTTGAGAAACCACTGACAAAAGAAACACACCACCTTCCTGGTGGCGGGAGGGGGACCTGCAAACGGTAGACATTGCCACGGTTGGAGCCTCCCAATGAGGTGGACAAGGGAGCATAGCCCTGTGGTGACCCATTCTCACTCTGTATAACACCAATATGCTGCATGAAGGTTGTACTCCTGTTAACATGTATTATTACTCTGAGTTGAACATCATGATTTCTATGCATCTCATAATGACGTGACAGACAAATTTTGCTTTACAGTTCTGAAGAAAATAAGAATAACTTTCAATCTCTTTGCCAAATTAAAAAAGGGTAAAAGATCATGCTGGTTTCTTCATAAGATGCATGTTTAGCTGTTTCTGTTGCTGCCAAGACTGTTATGGTCGAGAGGCTTTTTCCAGTTCAGGTAGTGGTGGGCACATGACACTTCTTTTGTTTGTTCGTTTTCACTGTCATTCCTATTTTTGTTTGGAGTTAAAGAGGACGTGTGGCAAGGAAAACCTGCACTATGTATTATTTTGTCTTTTTTACAGCAATGCACTACAGTTTTGAGGTAATCTCACGGTCTATTTATTACAGAGAGATAAAGACAATGAATTTTTAATTTGCCATTATTTACCAATGCCTTGAGAATGGAAACATGCGGTCATGTCATTCTGCCATCTTTTCTGTTATCGTTCTGTATTTCTTTTTCAACTTGAAAAATTATTTTTGTTTTTACTATATATAAATATATATTATATGTAATTGTAAAAAAGGAAAAGGTTTGGAATATTTATTACTGTGAACATGGTATATTTACATTTTGTTACATATCTTTTTTTTTCATTCAGGGGATAAGCAAAGTTATATAAATGTATACAGGACCATTGGTTAAGAGCAGAACTCCAAACATCTGTTGGACTCTTTTCTGACCGATCTAATTTAACTTAAAGCTTTTTTTATAAGAAAAAAATAAAACTGTTTTGATTTACCATGTTTTTTGTAATACTTTTCCTGCTGTGATTCACTACAATTAATTTCAAATGCACTTACATTTTATGGAGCAGACAGCTTTTTTTTTTAGACAAACTGTAGAAGACAGCTGTTCTCTTTCCAACTTCTGCTGTAGAAGTCAGCTGTTCTCTTCCCTGCTTATACTGAGAAACCACATTGCTGCAGCCCATACAGGTCCATAGCATGATCGAACCTCTTGAGTGAGAGATACTCTGCAGGTAAATTGAATAGTAAAATTTGATCTATTGAAATTGTGCTGTTTTTATAGTACAGCACAATCTTTCAATGCTCATTTTTGCCACTGAATTATATAATTGGAAAGAAAAGCCTGAAGAAAAGTTTTACCAAGAATACAGTAACTATCGTAAGATATGCAGAATCCCAGCCATCTGCTGCTGTTTTAAAGAAATGTACACATTTCACATAAATCAAACAAATCTTCAGGTCCTCATTAAAGCTTTGCATTGTTTTTTTCTCCTGCATGTCAGCTTTAGTCCTAATTTCCCATGACAATATTGAAATTTGCAAACCCTCCCTCCCCCTCCAATACCAATTCCAGTAAGTCTCATGCAAAAAACCTATCCTCATTTTAATTATGTTTGTGTGAGGGCTGTTTCAGAAAGCAGACGATATTTTCAGTAGCTCCTGACAAAGCAGTGTTGTGAACCACTTACCTGACTGTTCCCTCTTCAGTCACCTACTGTAGGCCTACTGATGACAATTAATATGTGACCAGCTCTATTCTGTTGTCAAGGTAGGTTGGCAGGGATGCCAGTTGTCTCTTGATTGGAAAGAGTTGTGCTGCAGCGGGTCCCGGGGCTGTTAGAGAGCAGCCTGATGCAGGGTCATGTCGATCAGTCGCTGGATCATTGCAGAGTGAATACTGTGGAAAGGCAAACCGTCCACTTCCATCCCAAGAGTCCCTGTTCTCCCACTCCGAATGCCGTACTTCACCAGGATCTCCAGGATCTTCTCCTCCTTAACAAGGAAGATGAGCCGTCTTTGGAGTCAAACAATGAAATGACTTGGAGGCAGTTCACTTCACCTTTTTTTTTGCACAATGACCTGTTCACCACTGTTTTTATGGTCTGCAGAATTAACCAAGATTCTAGTCTTATTACACATTACTACGTCCTCCTGATATGAGCCTATTTTCCAAATCGAATGAGAAAAATTGATTTTTGAACAAGGTGTCTATTATATACTCTATAACTCTATTAGCAGGTGTTCCATCTTATTGTCTCTATAATTTCATTATTAAGGTTCAGAGTATAAAAGGTTTGCTTAATCTATCTGATCATTTCTGTTCCAGATTAGTTTCCTTTTGTTTAATGAGGCTATAAAATCTGTTTTTTGTGAACGTGGGTGAGTGGTAAAGAAAATAAATGGCCTTTTTCCATTGCTGAAATCCTCTATTGGGTTTCTATAGGCAACAGGACTGAAGAGAGTGAAGACGTGAATAAAAATAGCTAGGATTCATTAGTTTCAGTAAAAATGCTGACAATGTTCCACATTACCTTCCTGACAGTGGGGAGTGCAGCAGTCCAGGAGCTGTGCTGGATGTTTCTGGGGAGCCCCACAGCTCTTCTGAGGTAGCGCTCATGGACAGGACAGTGATTCAGGACGTACAGAGCACAGGCCACTGCGTAGCCCCCCCAATTAGACACCCCTAGACGGGTCCACAGGAGAGTAGTTTCAGAGCGACAGTGGAAATCTGTTTTTGCCCATTTCTCATGGCTCACCAGGTCAGGAATAAAACGGGCACTTTAAACTAGGTCTGACGAAGGGCAGTGGAAGTCCATCCTTCCATTTTCTAACTACCACACTCAGTTCAGGGTCATGGGGGATCATGTCGGCTAGAAAAAGGTACAAGGCAGGGTATTCCCTGGATGAGATGCCAGTCTATCACTGGGCACACACACTTGCACCAGGGACAGTTTTTCCCAGAAGCCAATTAACCAACCAGTTTGATTTTGGAATGTGGGAGGAAACCCATACAAACGTCATGCAGCCCACACCCCAGTTCTGGAAGTGAACACAGGGCCCCAGTGCTGCAAGACAGCAATGCTAACTGTGTCACCATGCCACCCAGCATTTGAAGTGAAAATGGCAATTTCAGTTCAGGTCAAAAGGGCACTAAAATAAACTTCCCAGTAGTTGTACTTCATATTGATGTACCGAATACGTGAATTCCTAAACTAATTTCTCTTTTTTTTCTTTTCCGTGTATCAAAGGTTCACTATCATAATTCTCTCTCTTGAGCTCTGGCAATGACACTAGCAGCACATTGGCCCTTCTGCTTAAAAGACCGACACACTACCCGGCTGATCTCTGGACAGTGGTATCCCTGTCATATCCACCAGCCAAATGAACCCTCTCTTAGCTCTGGTTTACTGTAACAGGCTAGACCTTGTCATACTCTATGTAAATATTTGGAAATGGCAGTCAGTATGTTTTGCCTATTAGTTTTGTTAATAAATAGATCTAAATTGAAATAAAACATCCTATTTATTCTGGGAATATTGAGTGTGATCTTGTGGCTTTTTCATTTCAGACGAAAAAGGAAACACCTTTAATGTAAATGTAGAAATTTCCTCACTTGGCAAACTAGTTTTAGGGCATGATTCTTAAACTTTAATTTTACCTTATTATTTAAATTTATTTAGATTTAAAAAATCTTAACTTAGTAAATGTGAAAGAAGGGTGAGAGGAAGTGGTTTATATGCTTTTTTATCTGTTATCTTCCTTGGGTTGATTTACAGAAACACAGCGAGAGATGGCAGGATGGAAGTTAGGAAGCCATACAAAGAAACCACAACCTTTAAATGATTTCTCAGAAAGACGACTCTCTTGATTATTACCAGTAGAACATTGTTTCATTGGGCTTTTTCTGTTATTTAAGCCTTTTTTATTAACTTTTTAGAGAAGCACACTTTGACATTGTTGTTTTTGTATTATCAGAACTCTCTCAGACTACATTTTCCCATAATGAGGTGCTTCCTTGACTGACACACTAGGGCTTTTGCACTGCTTTTTACTCCTGACCCACCCTTTTGTATGTTGACTTTATATTTATATGTGTTCGCCTTATATTTGAATTTACCTTCTTTACACTGTACAACACATCATACAAACTAATTTCTTACTACAATACAAACTGCCGTGCTTGTATTGTAGTACGTAACACTTCTAAACTGTTGCAGCTACTGGAGCGTCCTTCTCCAGTTTACACTGTACAGGCTCGATACCTGTGGCACTTGTGAATCAAGTGGATCAAGGGAAGAATCACAAATAATAAGATTTGATGAGAAGAGTGAATTTACCTGCGGTAATGGCGAAGTCTGCAGCAACATCACAGGCGATCAGCTCCCCATTTGGCACGTGCTTCCTCACTGCCTCTCTCACCTTCCCCATTCCCAGTTCATTGCCTCCGTCGCCAATCCCTGAAAGACAAGACCTTGCTTGAGGCATGGCTGACTTTGCATCTAGACGCCCCCTAGTGAGGAGTTCCACTATGTCTCCATCAGGGTGTTCAGTGCTATGCCAGCTGTCTGCTGGTGTGTGGTGGTCACCTGCTACCCTGGCATGCTTAGGTGTCAATACTGTGAACAGCGAATCAGGATCGGTGGATGTAGAATGGAATCTGAGCTTCACTTTTTCATAGATGAGGACAAGAACAAGTGCAGGACAATAAAAGTGCGGCAGGAATTTAAGAGATTAAAGACAAGGCAGCTGAACAGCAGCCTTCCCAGTAATAATTCTAAATATAAAGCTTTTCAATAGTTATTAACGTGCATCCATAGTTTAAGGAGTGAACAGGAACCTCATAGTGGAACTGATCCTCCATTTGGATGTTTACAGCGATATACAGTAACGGAGGAATAGTGCACAGTGAAATCATGATAGAATATGGTGATGTATATGGAGGTCTGGTTCGTGATGCAATTCTGGGAAACCCATGAAAATGCATACAGTAATATAAGCATATATTTACAGTGTGTATACTTAGAGTCATTACAAATGCAACAAATGCTACTGATTCCAAACGTATTCATTGTGTTTCTATTGCCTCTCAGCATACATCGCTGATAAAATATCCACAAATAAAACACATGATGCAACCACTTTTAAAAATAACTACAAAAGCAATGATGATGCCTTCTTTCAAAGCCATAATGTTCGGTGGGGGTCAGTTCTTTGGCTAGCCCTGCAGTCCAGTGGATTCTGTAATAGTTTGGAGGCACCTGTGGTGGTGATTCCTGGGATGGAGCTGGCAGTTGTAAACAGAATGTCAATGGGATCCACCAGGTGTTTTATATTCACTTTCCTGGCGTTGTAGTAGTTCCCATCTGCAGCCATGCCGGCACGCTCTATTGCCACCAAGTGGTCATACCTGAGAATGACATGTTTGAATAGATTCATTCATCATGTACTTTGCTCAGGCACAGACACGGTCTGACTTCCCTTTGCTCTTCATAGTCTCAGAAGCCCTGCAGCCAGGACCTCTGATAGGAAGTTATTTTATGTTAAAATCTGACTGTCGACCACTTGTACCAGTTGTCAGTCAAACTTTCATGTTGTACTGAAGCTGAGGACATGCTTCTGCAGATTTGAAACAACGTTTCAGCATGGAATAAACCTTTACCTGTTCACTTGATACACACAAAATAGTTCAGAATTGTAAAAGCATTTCTCTTTAGGTTCCAGTCTGCGCCATCTTATTGACTGGTGATCAGCATGTTGGAATCCTGTGACCGACACGTGTGGTACAACACATGAAGCCGTCTACTCCTTGGATGACTGCTTAGAAACAAAAGGCCTAAAACTTGACCTACAGCCTTGACATAGTCAATAAGCTCAAAGGCAAACTGCTGTTAAACACAAACATATAAATAGTTTGGTCTTTATCTGACAACTAAATGCTCAGGGCAGGGGTGGCTCAGTGGCTAAGGATCTGCACCTGTGGCTGGAAGGTTGCTGGTTTATCCCACAGCCGGCAGAGGAATCCTACTCTGTTGGGCCCCTGAGCAAGGCCCCTTATTGCGCCTGTGGCTGGAAGTTTGCCGGTTTATCCTGCAGCCGGCAGAGGAATCCTACTCCGTTGGGCCTCTGAGCAAGGCCCCTTATTTTGTGCAACAGGTGCTGCCTGCGCATCTACAAGCAGTGACAGTTAGGTAAACCCAATGAAGGAAGATATTTCAGAAGCAAACTGCTAATTTTGTAATACAACAAACCTTTTAGTAGAAATCTCTTCTGAAAGAAACATAGGTTAGCATTTTGAAAGCACCTGCAAAGCCTCTTGGCCTTCTTCCTCAAAGTACCTGGGTTTCACAGGATCTCCATTGTGACAGAGGAACCCCAAGACTGAATCTGCACCTGAGTTTTGGAAGCTGAGCACTGGAACTGGAGTCTTTAAAATGCCTGCAATCAAACACAGACACATTTCAGGTTTGACGTCTTCTTCAAGGAAGCCACATTGTGAAAATACCTGAAAAAGCACAATACAACACAACTGGATGGCAAAGAAAATCTCTTAGTCTTTTAAAATCAGGATAGAAAAAAAAAGGCATTAGATGGGAAAGGACAAGAGACTAGCGGAGACTTAATCATTCTCTCCTTCCCTCAGCTCTAAAGGACATTTCATAGAAAGGCCATTTCTATGTGTATTTATAATCAGGCACAACTTGAACCGCCTCCTGAGTTTCCTTATCAAAATCGTGTAAGGAAAAGGGATGTATTTGGAAAGAAAGAACAATTTTAAATGCCAGTACTGTAAGAATATTTCTGATCTCCTGAAATGCAAACCTTGTAGTGTTACAGTATCTCTCATCATCCCAAACAGTTTTAAGAGTTTTTTTTTGCTACAAAGCCACACAACAGGTGTCTTGCTTGTAAATGTCAGAAAGCCAGTCTCTACACCATAGTGGTAACTTTTGAAGTACACTTTGAATCTAAAAAATGTCAGTCTAATATTAGGGGTTTACTTTTAGAAAAGCAACATTTGAAGAAGTAGAGTTTGCAAGCAGAGCACTGGAAACAGATGGATACATCATCAATACAAGACAACACTAATGGCCAAAACAAATTAATCCCTAAAACAAATATGAAAGTCTAGGAAAATGAGCCTAAATAGATTGAGAAATTGATTTAAAAAAAGGAAAAGAGTGCTCTACAGATAGTGGAAAAGGGAACTTAGATTCAAAAACAAAAAAAAATGTTTCACAGCTGAAGAAAGAAAACAAGAACAAACAGATTGATTAACAAACAGGAAACAGTACATTATCCTAAGGAGCATAGTCTTTAATTGGGCAGCATTAAGCTGTGTTGTGTTACAGCGTAATTTTAGGTCAATTGCTCATTTTGATCTGAATCAATGGGTTATATTCTGATATGAACAGAAAACTAGTTACATTTTCAGTGGTAGTCTGTACATCCCTGAGTGGAAGACCTGCCTGTAATGTCCCTGAGAGGCTTCCATGGAAATCAGCCATTTTGGATCTTATATGGGCCAAGAGTAGACAATGACCCAAAATGTGGGTAGTTACACTAAATTCAACCTGAGACATATATGCTCTGTAAAGCAATACAGAGAGAGTGGGAAGGGCACCAGAAGCTGGACAATCAGATTTGTTTGGAAAGGTAAATAAATAACATTGAGGCTCTATATTATTTGAGGAGGGGGGTGGGGGGTGGGGACAGGGTTAAGCAGGGTGAAATGACCTAAAATATTGACAGTTCTTATTCTTATTCTTATTATTGACAGGATCTCTTTTTGTTTCTTTCTTGTAACTATTCTTCTTCCCATAAGAAGAATTAAAGACCCCAAAATAAGGCTGCTTCTGTGGGGAAGAAACTGGTTTTGTGCTGGTGCACTTTGGCTGCCGTCACATCATCCAGGTGGGGGCTGCACATGGTGGTGGATGGGAGTCCCCATTACCTGTAAAGTGCTTTGAGTATAGTTTTTATATACCGGATTACAAAGACATTTAAGCAACAGCTCTCCTCATCTGCTGAAGCAAACAGGACAGCAACAGGACCCTCAACCAGTGGAATATTTGGGGTCCAGAAAAGTGCTATATAAATTGTAAGGATTATTTATTTTACTGCCAACAGATAGCCATCCGTATTACACCTCGAGGGGGAGAATGCCCAATTCTGGTTCCCCTCGAGGACATTTTGTAAATTACTTGCCATTGCTTTTGCAGACACTTGGCAAATTAAATTTAACATTGGATCAGTCAGCACATAGTACATTGTACTAGGAATGTACATTCTACATATTGTTAAGTTAGGCTCAAGCTATGTACACATTCGTAAGATCATGTTTAGCATGTTTTCAGTTTTGACTACCATTCCACAAAACAGACTGTATACCTAAATGGGCTAAAGTTGAATTCAAGAGTAGGAAACGCTTTGTTACAGAGTTATGCATCTGGAACTGGCTTACCAGTCAGTTAGTTTAGACCAAAATTCTGAGCTCCTTCATGTAAGAGGTCAGGTAGAATTTTAGACTGACTTAGTGGCTGAACTACGCCATGAGCAAAAGGGGAATGAATGCTTTCCTCTAGTTTGCAATACTTATTCTGACAATCCAGTAATCAGAAAATGAGGCAGAAGAGTATATTGTTTGTGATCCCTAAAGCATAATGGCTATTGCTGATGAGACACGGACATTTTAGCCTAGGAAGCAGTTAGACATTTGTGCACTGTTTTGAGATTACCTTGCTCAACCGCATCTTCTATGATCTTTCGGTTCATGTCCAAGGCGCGGTGGTCCGTTACGATCGTGACCCGTTTGTTAAGGGCTTGAAGCATGGCTGCCATAGCAATGGCCCCAGGGGGCCCGTCGTTCTCTTCTGGAGGGTTGTGGGTGAAATGAGTTGGAAAGCCAGTGGTGATGAGGACAGAGGCTGCATGAGACAGGGATAGGCTGGCCTTGAGGAGCTCTTCAGGGACGAGCAGAGCCTTAATCCCTCTTTCTCCTAGAAAACACAGGTCCCATAATTAAGCGTGCTATGTTTTACCACTTGCCTAGTTATCCTACAGGTCTGTGGGTTATAATATACATACACAGTGTGCATTACGCAGCTCTATGATTATGATGGTAAAACATTTTAGGAGGAAACATTTAAAAAAGCCAGGCCTGCTCCTTTCAGACTAAATGATCAGTATCATTAGTGAGGTATCATTATCTACTGCTTGCATAATTCATACAATTTATTAACTGGATACAATAAACCGATAACCCCTTTAACTGAAACCACAAGTTTGAATTACATCATTGCCCTGATTTTTTTTTATTGAATAGCCTTTGCATCGAACTAGAGACAGTAAACTTTTTGGAAAGAATGTCAAGAAGGTCCAACAGCTAGATAAGAAGGCTGTCACCTTCTAAATCTGCCTGTATGCATTCCTCCTTCCTTTATATATATTAAAGTGGATTTTTATATACTGGATTACAAAGACATTTAAGCAACAGCTCTCCTCATCTGCTGAAGCAAACAGGACAGAACTAGTGGAATATTTGGGGTACCTGGGTCGGCCCCGATGTGGGTCTCCAAGGCTCTGATGCGCTGGACAGCAGCAGCTGATGCCAAGCTGTAGTGCAGGGGCTGCTGGGAGATGCAGAAGGCAAGGGGGGTCTCAGAAGGGGCAAGGCTCCGGGCAAGAGGAGAGGCCCCGTCTTCGTAGCTGCTGAGATCTGTGGAGCAGGTGAACGACAGCGGCGTCTCTGAAAGGACAAATTAAAAAAACACTGCTGAGGCATAGCTGAAGATAAATCAGCCACTGAACACTGGCTTAAGGATGATGGTTTTATCTGTCAAAACACCGTACCTTTTTAAATTACATTTCTTTAACTCTAGGTGCAACTATTATTTTGCACTTTTTGATATCCTTGTTCTCATAAATATAAAATAGAATGTAACTCATTTTCAGCTTAGTGTTTATTGTATAATCAGTTAAGTGTTTTGTTATAATACTTCAACAGAAAAGAAGTATCAGATTTGATTAGTGTCAAATTGGTGCTTGGTATTGGTGCTTTGTTGCATGTGTCACTATTAATGGATTGTTAAATAGTCAATGACACTTGAAATGGTTATAAATAAACTTAGAACATTTGGGGGAAAAAATGAAAGATTCACATTTAAGCTTTAGTTAAGGGCGGCAGGACACAGGAATCCGGCTGGGTTTTGAGAATGAAGACCTCTGTCTGTGGTGTGTGAGCCCCGTACTCACTACTGCTCCGCACAGCCTCTGCTCCTGTTGTCCCACAGGCCCAGAACACGGGCACGTCCCCCGGCTGCACCTCCATTGCGTCCCCATTGTCAGGCCTGCGCAAGTCCTCCACCCCAATCAGGCCTAGGGAAATCAGAATAAACTTCCTGTGGGTGACAGCTTGTGAAAAAAAAAATCTCAGGGCTTTATCCTACATAAAAAGCCTTTCTCAAAATTCTGAGACTGAAAGAAGATTTATATGGCGATGGTGCACTAGAGCCCTGGGGAACAGCAACACAAAACCCCACAGCCATAGAATGGAGAGGAAAGATGGGGTCACGTGGCAAAGCAGAAAAGGCTGAGCAAACTGTCACGTGGAAGTGAGCAAACAACTAGCATCAGGTAGACATGGCAAGTCCTTCAATATAAGCAGGGGGGTTTCAATATGAGGTTTAAGCCTGACAGGGAGTCTGTGCAGGGCAGGAGTGGTGTGCTCGCCTGTGAGTGAGCTACTCAGGCTTGTGTCTGCTGAACTCTGAACATATTGTAGCTTAAAGTGGAGTTTTAGGCACTTCTGTGGTTAGGGTGTCACAATAATTGATCCTTGGGGAAAATGTAAACCCCATTATTCAGCTATATAGACAGCACTAAAATGCATTCTAGCAAAATTGAAAAACCAATGTCTTAACAATATCCAGCACATTGAATTCAAGAGTCAATCCAGGAATTACCCAGTATTTCTAAATTGTGTAATGAAACTGAAGACATACTTTAGGCTGACTGAAGGGAGGAACCCAGTAATAATGAAATCCACTATATAAAATTCAGATTAATAATGTTAATGCCATGCCAAATGCAGGGGACATCAAAATTTAGTTTTGCTTGAAGAAGTCTTAGTGAACACGAGATTAACATAAATGCAATACAACTTTTTAGGCATATTATTATGTTGATGGTTATTGTCATACTGTATGGTGAAGTGCTGCCCAATATTAAAATTATTTGTTAATAATTTTAAATCTGCAGTTTTGCGCTCAGAGTGCAGAAGCTGGGATGATAAATGCCAGGTGACCTGGGTGTCCGATGTGCACTGGAACTCCATGGAGGCTGTGGTTTAAGTGTGTGTCCAGATTCCTCTCTGGCATGGGCTTCATGAACACCCTCAGATCACACTGGAAGTTGCCTACCCCACAGCAAGGCACAGAGGTCTGCAATGACAGGAGTTTATACATTTATGTGCAGATTTACAGATCAGTTCCCCTAGCACTGATTCAGTCTTTCCTCTTGGAAAATGATCTGGTTCATATTACAGGTTGAAAATCCTTTATCCGAAATTCCAAAATCCAAAAACCTCCAAAATCCTAAACATTCCAGGTCACAGTGATATCATCGATGACATACCCTCTCCCTCACGTTTCTCGGACCTGATGTAGTTGTAATGTCTGGGGCTGCATTTATCTTCAAGTTTGTAAGCAGTGATCATCATGTTTTGTTTTGTTTTTTTGTACAGTCAGTACAAAACATTATTTTTACGTGAGATCTGAATTTCACCTCCATGTATGTGTGTAACTTGACTAGCGTCATTACTTGCACATTACCTTAAAAATAAAATGCTGACTTTTTTCAGTTTTCATTTTATTTACCTTTAATCACATTCGATGCTTTGTTTTTATACCCTACATAAAACTTAATACCTGTATAGTAAAAAATAAAATACAAATGGCGTACGTGTACTTTAACCTTTTAATCAAAACATGATATTGTAGGTGAAGACTGATATCTTACCTTCCTGATGGTATTATGTTTCAAAAATTATTTAAAATGTATATAAAACTACATTCAGGGTATATGTATAAGCTATATTATGAAATGTAAATGGATATCGTGTTTAGACTTGGGTCCCATCCCCAAGCTGTCCCATTTTATAGATATACAAATATAAAAATATTCCAAAATCCAAAAAGATCTGAAATCCACAACATTTTCGGTACCAGGAATTTCCGATAAGGGATTCTCAACCTGTACTCTGTTTGTAGCTCATGAGTGCGTCCCTTTGAAAATTCAACAAGTCAGAGAGCTGTAGCCTGAAGGCCTGTTTCCAAGCTACACTACTTCTAATAATAAAAAGAAGAAGAAGACTAGAATACAATAAAAAGCAAATAAAAATGAAGAGAACAAGAACATACAGGATAAACTGTAAGATAATCAGAAACAGGCCATAGTAAAAAGGTGAGTTTAGATCTTGAGAGAGTCGGATTATTTGACTCTCAAAGAGGCACTTCATAACAGAGGAGTGGAGACAGAAAAAGCCTGGGCACCAAAAGTCCGTGATTAAGTCCTGGGTACACTGAGCAAACACAAGCCTCAGATGAACAGAACCTATGGGAGGGAGTCATTATGAAGGAGTTCAGAGATGTACGATGGAGCCACATTATTCAGAGCCTTGAAAGTCAGTAATGATCTTATACTAAATATGTGACTTGATAGATAACCAATGTAGAGATTAAAGAATAGAAGTGATATGTTGCCAGGGTCTGGTCTGAGTTAGAAGTCTAGCTACAGAGTTTCAGACATATCACAACTGAGAAAAGAGTTATGGAGATCATTGAGATAAAAGTTGCAGAAATCCAGCCTTGATGTTACGTTATAAATGCATAAATCAACCATTCAGCATTGAGCATTGATAGAAATTGCCTAATGCTGGCAATATTTTTGAGGTGAAGAAAAGAGATCTTTAGCAAATTTTCCACTCAAAGGACAGGAGAGGATCAAGTGTGACTCTCAGAAATATAGCTGACGTGTGAATGGGGAAGCCATCCACCATTACTGTGAAGCTCTCAAGCTTTTTCAGCTGACATTTGCTACCTACCAGTAACATTTCTGTTTTGTCATTATTTAGCGCAGACAAGAGTTAAGTGACAGAGGCAGGAGATCAGAGTTGGAAGAGGTTTTAATGTAAATCTGAGTATCATCAGCATAACAATGAAACCAAAGACCATGTTTGAGTTCAATCTGATCGAGAGAAAGCATATACAGTAAATCATGAAAAGTACTGTGCCCAAGACTGAACCCTGAGGCACACCGAGATTGACTGGGCCCATGGGAGATTTATGAGGACCAAGGGAAACAAAATGCTGCCTGCCAGTCAGATATGAGCAGAATGAGTTAAAAACAGTATCACTGATAGACAAGAATGCAATTGAGCATCACCGGCTGATTTTACTGTGTCAAAAACTACATTAAGATCAAAGAGCATAAAAATGCTTATAGCGCCCCAGTCTGACGAAACAACCAAATTATTCACAATCCTGCCTAGAGCAGTCTCAGTGCTATGATTCATACAACAACAAGACTATAACGTTTCAAACCGAAAATGTGTTATTATATGAGCCTATAATTGTTGTGCAACTACACGTTCTAAAGCCTTAGATAGGAATGGTAAATTAGAAATTGGTCTGTAGTTAATCATTATATCAGAATCCAATGACCGATGCAGTCTTTAAAGCAGTAAGGACACACCCATGGAAAGCAAACTGTTGATAATATTTACAATTATGGGCCAGAGGTCTGGCAGGCAAGTTTTCAGTAAGAGGTAGGGATAGGAGCTAGGCAATCAGAGGTTGTTTCACAGCTGTTTTTTTGTAAGCTATAAGGGATGTTTTTTATGTTGTCTGTTGACCCCCAGGGGCTGTGTAGGACAAACATTATCCCAGCAGGATCATGCATAAGTGGAATTTAAAAGGGGCACATTCACAGCCAATCTTCCTTAATACAGTTTGATGTCTAAATCCTATACCCTACAGCTGAATGCACCATTAAAACAGATGTCATTCATTGTTATCCCTCATGGCTGACTGTCCTCCATGAAGCTGAAGGTGACAAATATGGCCAATATGGAATCCACTCTCTCTGGCAGGGTGAGCAGGTGTTGTAACAGGAGATGCAGGTTATTTACTGCAAAGTGCGGTCATGGTGAGCTTTCTTCAGAAACCTTTGGGTGTCAAAATAACATTCTCCCTCCATCTGGTTCTGTGAAGGGCCTCAGGTTCCCGGGAGTTGATATCAATTTTGAATTTTACAAAATGTTTATCACAGCACTGAAACACTTTTCTAGCTTCCTCTGATGTGATTGCCTTGACTAAGCTGAGAGAAGAGAACTTTCTTCTTTGGGAGCCTGGAATCTGACATCTGGAAAACACGACCAGCGTAACGCAGCTAATGGCCCCTAATGATGATAGCTGAAGATCATAACACATATTTGTGCTGTCTGCTTGCGAGAGCAATGTTCATGTACTGCCAGTACGTCTGACCACCCACCATCTGCAAAAGCATATGGAATAACCTAGTGGAAGTATTACTAATAACACTTGTTCGCATTTTACTTTTAAACATCCACATTGAGCCCTTTTAGACAGCATCATGTAGGCCATTACCTTGTAAATGCTTACAGCATGTTTCTTATCTCCAGGCCTTGGAGGGACTTCAGCCCTCTGAAGTTTTTGGTGGTCCGACATGGCTGTGCCCAGGTAGAATGTCACCATGTTGGCCAACTCTTCAGAGTAGTCCAGTAGACTAGGCAACCTGCTAGTGAGGTTCCCTTGCTCGTACTTAAAATACTCAGGGTAGAGGGTTCTGTAACAAGCATAATCCAATGTCAATTGATCTCTCCACTGTCACCTATATGGACAATAGGTTTCATCAAGCTCACAGGTATTATTAATTTTCACAGTAATTAACACTGAAAATATAGGGATTTTTGGAGAAATCCACATATCATGAATTCAAAAATGTATTTAACTAGATCACTGTTGTTTGGATTCCTGTTATTCTGTCACTTTCTTTTTCTTGTTCCATGCATATTGTTTTTTCTGTCGATGGCTCTATTTAGATTGCCACTAACAAAACAAAAATTAAGCAAGCTGACATAACATTATCAGATTCCCCCCGTAGAGATCTTCTGATTGTATATATCCTACAATTAGTGAACAATTCAAAGACATCTTGCGGTCTTCCTTTCACAGCCAGTTAAAGAGAGGAACACATACCTAACATCTGATGCATGGGTCAGTACAGGGCATGTCAGCTCTCCTGGCTGGCTTCTGTATAACAAAGGCAAGGGGCCACTGTTGGCATGGCAAAAAGCTTCAAAGTCATCAGCAAGATCTCTGTGCAGTATTACAATACTGGCCTTCTTATAACCTTAAAAGAAAAAGAAATTGCATCTAAATTTGGCATCTGCAGTCTTCTGTCCCAACTTAAACAGAAAGAAAATGTGGGGAATCCTAGAGCAATAAAATGGTTCTATCCCTGAAGAGGATGCATCCATAGGTCTCCATTATCTGTTAAGACTAATAAATTTATGGAGAGAGGAGCACTGTTTAAGACTTAGAACTCACTGTCTGCATGTGTTGATGACAGGTATGGATCAGAAAATCTTTCTTATAGACAAGCTTAGCTCTAGCGCAGTGTGACTTGAATCTGCACCTCTGGTGTGAAAGAAGTATCCTACCTTGCCAGCAGCCATATCACTCTGCAACTCACAACTGGCAACCCACTGAAGCCACTCTGCAGTCCATGTGGGTCCTAATGCCCCAGTATAGTGACGGGACACTATACTGTAAACAGGCGCTGTCCTTCAGATGAGACGTAAAACCGAGGTTCTGATTCTCTGTGGTCATTAAAAATCCCTGGGTGTTTCTCAAAAGAATAGGGGTGTTGCCCCGGTGTCCTGGCCAAATTTCCCATTGGCCCTTACCAATCATGACCTCCTAATAATCCCCCTCTATGAATTGGCTTCATTACTCTGCTCTCCTCCCCACTGATAGCTGATGTGTGGTGAGTGTTCTGGGGCACTTTGGCTGCCGTCACACCATCCAGGTGGATGCTGCACATTGGTGGTGGTGGAGGGGAGTCCCCATTACCTATAAAGCGCTTTGAGTGGAGTGTCCAGACAAGCGCTATATAAGTGTAAGCAATTATTATAATTAATTACCTACCTTCAGTCATTCCTGAAGCGCCTCTGATTCCCAATTTTCTACCTCGAGCTAGTTCTCGGAACACAGTGCTGAGGGAACTCCTGAAGAGCCTTGCAGGGATCATCACTGTGCTCTTTTACGGCACGTGAACAGCCTTCATGCCACCTGTAACAGATCAAAACAAATGCCTTCACTGCAATATAGGACACTGGTAGTAAGGAAACTACTAATCTGTATTACTTCAGAAAACTTTTCATGCTTCAAAATTGAGGGAATTTGTCTCATACCTAGTCAGACCTTCACTGAACCAAACATTCCCATGTTGAAAACACTGGTACTCATCCATCCATTCACTTTCTAATCCTTTTATCCCATAGAGGGTCACAGGGGACACCAGCAAGCCACAGGTGCCAGCAGAGATACACCTTAGATGTAGCGCCAGTCCATTACAGGGCAGACACACAGACACAAATACACACACAACTCACACCAGGGCCAATTTTCTCCAGAAGCCAATGAACCTACCAATACGTCTTTGGACTGTGGAAGGATAGCTGAGCAGCCAAAAGAAACCTAAGCAAAAACAGGGAGAACATACCTAAGGAAATTAACCCAGGGCCCCAGTGCTACAAGGCAGCACCGTTACCACTGCACCATTGTGTCCGCCGCATTGTTACTCATAACTTACTCAAAGTTAAATAACCCTAATTCCAAGTAACCAATGTAAGTGATGGATTTAGTCTGACTCAGTGCTACTGAGTCTGAAACAGTTCAAGTAAACTGACAGTTTTGTCTTTGCAAAGACAAGCATGCCTTCTCATTCATTCATTAATTCTTGGTTTTCTAAGCTTCTCTTACATTCTTTCATTGTAATTGACATATTTACAACAATATTATATCAGTCATATTCAAAAATCACGTTAACTCTAAAATGTACGGTGTAAATGTTATCATAGAGCAATATATTTAGTGAAATAAAATCTAAAAATGATACATTACTGATATGTGCTATTCTAATCTGCCCATAGCTAAAATTATATCTCAAAAAAGATTCTGGCATTTAATATTCTAAATTAAGTGCTGACACCCTGCCTTCACTCAACAACATAGAAAGATAGACACCAGACATTAAATCTATGTCACCTAGCGGTCACCCAAGATGCATGCCTAGTTACATACAGTAACTACCACCTTACTAACTTCATGCCCAGCAATGGAATTATACTCAAACATCTGTTCCTGTCTTCAGCTGCTATAATTAGCTCCTCCGATTGTACAACTATTATGTACACTAAATCAGGACATGGGAGTTTTACATGAAATGACTCTGATCACAATGTCTTTTTTGTTTCACAATGAAACACGACAAAAAAGCCTAGCTGCTATATTGGAAATAATATTTAACTATTATGTACAGAATGTTCATGTTGTCATACTCTCAACCCACCACAAATGGTAAAGGAGGTCCTATTATACAGTTTGTCAGCCCTGCTGCTAAGGGGCCCCTATTTTCCTTTATGAAAAATAAGAATACAAATGTTTATAAACAAGAGGAGGTCATTTAGCCCATGAAGTTTATTTGCTTGATAGTAGCTAATAGGATCTTATTGAGTTCTTTCCTGAAGAAAGCTTGTTTGCACACCCACAACCCTTGGCGTAATGACCTGCTTCCCATGCTCAGTTTTAAAGGCACTGCTGCCCCACAGATTCCACATGTGTCCTCTGGTTTATTTTTTGGTATTTAGGTTTTCATTCCACAACAGCTCCTAATTACTCCACCTAAATGAACACCTGAATTTGCTGTATATGACTGCATACCCTTTTCCCAAAATATTTAATAAAAAGTTGACCAAGGTCAGACTTTAGCATTAGAAAGTGATGAATTTCAGTTGCTTGATTTAGGAAATCTACACAACCCCAATGACCAGGAGTCATTTGGAATTTCGGCAGCTGGTCCCATGCAGAATTACTGTAAGACTGCTTGTTATGTGTTGTAATGTACTGAGTGAAGTTGAGCACTGAGTGAACGGTTTTCTTTGGTAAACTGAAAGGCAGCAACATACCTAGGATGTAAGTTCAATACACTAACGGGAAAAAGAAGTTGAAACACAGCATTCAAACACACCTGGAGCACTGATATACCGCTACCTGGAGGACAGATTGTTTTCTATGACAGTTATATTCTATTCTAACAACAACATTCTTGAGAGATGAGTGTGTGTCTATATTGTTCGGTTTATCTTGTTGAAACAGAACGCAGAAGCCAGTGTTTTAAGAAGACAAGCAATAAAAAAACAGATACAGAGTTTTTTTTTTTAATCGACATTATGTGGATGACATTGAAAACATCACCTGCTCCAAAACATCGACAGCGCGCAGGGGAAGTACAATCATTTTCACGTCTTCGTAGTCGTGTTAACTCCTCACGACAAACTAAAACAGTTTTTAATTTAAGAAAAGCGGCGAAATCTATAGCACGTGTAACGTCTACAACAATAACCTTGCATACATGTTAACTTTAAAGTTGTGCTGAATTGCATGAAGAAGTCTCTTAAGAATACGGAAACAAACTGGTAAAGTGGCATACAATGTTTAGCCGTATGACCAAGAAGCTATACTGTACGCATTAGTCAAGTCTCCCTCGGAAAACCTGATTCCAGAAGATCGTTATTAACAGAACCCAATACCTTTGTTTTCCATCTGGACGAAAACAAAGTCAGTGATAAACCTTTAAATAAGATTTACAAGGCCATTAGAACATGTGTACAAGCCCAGTCCAAATAATTGAACTGCTGAATTATGTATTCCATATGAACACTGCTACACACTGTACATAAACGTATCACTGTAGTAACGAACCACTACCACTAAATAACGTGTAATGGCAAACCACAAAACCAGTACTTTTATAACTAACATCCTCACCTGAGACGAATCGTGCGTAAGCGAAACGAAAGTCTAAAGTAATCAAACTATAATCAGATCGCTCGCTCTTTCCAGTCCAGACATGGTCAATCAAATTACTACATGCAGTGCTCGACCCAGTGCTAAATTACAGCAGGTCACCAGTTGCCACCTATATATTTTGCTGCTCACGGATTATGAGGGTTCGACACTGACTCAGGCTCGAAGGATTCTAAGCAGTTTGAGGCTGTTTTTGTCCCTTCTTTATTTACGAGTGTGATTGGCACTCAAACTACACAGTTGGCTCAGATAGACGAATTACGGGAGAGAGGGGCGTCTTTCCGCCCCCGGGGATACGGTAGCTCCGGTTTAGTGTCGTGTGGGTGTAATGATTACCGGCGGACCTGGCACAGAGTAAGAGAGCTAGGGGTCTGGCTACAGACTCCAAGGTTACTCCCTTTCTGCCTGTGGTCAGACGCCAGGAAGAACAGACAAAACATAGATATCTTGTGGATCTCCCCTGCTTTCTTGGTACACATACAATTTCTCTACAGGCTTAGTATATTCGTCTGCTAGGGTATTGTATACCTAATACTCCACCTCCTGGAGGTATACTGTACAAAGTACAGTAATTGTATTGCCTTGCAAATATACTGTGCACGCTGCTAATAATCCTTAATAGTAGTTTTTAAATTTGAATATTTCAGATGTATTGGTGTGTGGCCATCACCCGTAAATTATATAATACGGCCAATGTCTATTATGGAACATTTGAGGTGCTGTACTCATGGTCAACGATATGCCCTCACACTGCTTTAGTAAAATACCCTATAGTATAAATGGGTCCAGATTTCAGTTGCTTTGGATCAAAGCATCTCTCAAATTATTATGAATATAATTCTATAGATTTAGTAGCAATTACAATTTAGTACAATTACATACATTTAGTAAATAATAGCTCACTGTGCTTACAGATGCACTGTAAGTTTTGAGATCACACCTTGAATGCTGTCAAGATACACGTTAGGACTGAGTTGTACCCTCTACTACTAAATGTGGGATGAATAGCATCTCTGATTTTGGGGGCCTCTCGTATAATTTCGAAGGAGTCCATCCAAAGAAACAAACTAGTACGTCCGACTGAAAAGTCTATGGCGTTATTAGCAGATCAAGAGCAGCTGGTTAGTTAGCACTTCAGGGTTGTCAGTTCAAGTTATGTTATATATATGTGTGTGTGTTAATACTATTCAGCAGAAAATAAAATGGCACTCTTAATAATTAAATACATAATTTTAAAAATAAATTTTACTGAAAGTAAATCATTTACTGTAAATTTGTGGTATAGTTTTTGAATATGGTAAACTGCTACTAGCGTCATGACATAATTAACAATTATTATTCACAAGGAATCAAGCGCTTGAATTAGTCGTTGGTGACGTTTTGTTTCAGAAATTCAAGAACTCTTCCGATTCGAGGTGTCCGTTCATAGCCTAATGGCTGTTCAACCATTAATGTCTACTGTATGTGCCTACGCCTAAAAGGTCGTTAATGCAATTGCATTGTTGACGTGCGCTTTCATGTGGGAAGGAATGCAACAGTATACCCGCCCGTATGATTACGGAAGTGTCCTGAGGAATTCACACATCCCACCGTGGCAACATAAGTACAGGACAGAGGCGACCTGCACTGCTGAGGGCTGGAGGGCGAGCGCTTTGAGTGTCATTGCGGGCGTCCAATCCGGCGACTAGTTGTCAAGGGATGGCCCAATCAGAGTAGAGCAAAGACGCGGGGTAGTTTATTTTTAAGGAGGGGTTTTCTCGTACGAGGTACGTGTTTGACAGCAAAATCGGCCAATTGCTGGTTCTCCCTTTGCCTAGCAACTCCAATCTCTGCAGTAGGTGGGCGGAGCGTGGCTTGGTTGTACGAGATAGTGCAGTTGTAGTAGTAGACCTGCCCAGTCGTAGAGAATTAGTGAGATATTTACTGTTTAGTACTTTCACTTCGTATATCTTATATATCCGTTCATTCAGACGGATTTGCACTCGGAAGTGGGGTTTCACGGTTTATTTTATCTAGGTGCCGGCGTGTTTGGAACGTGTTGCCTGCGATGGAGGGTTCGTCGGGAGAAGGTGACCTGTTTACAGTGAAACATGAGCTGAAAAATGGTAAGTTCTGAGTTTCTCTCCAACCCCAAAACGTCGGCGGTTAATTATGTTGGCAGTGACCCGTGCGTGAGCATCCGTCTCTTTGAATGGTAACGCTTCTGAAACTGTAGAGAGTAGCTATACTGTAGCTATGCGGTGCAGGTTGGCGAATACACATCGATGGAGGTGTTATGAGTTGGAGGAGGGTTGGGTATTTCACTATAAAATGATAAGAAATTAATCAAAAGGCTGTTGCAATGAGTAAACTCGTAATATTCCTATATTTCTATAGTTACTGGTAGAAGTTCACTGAGCGATCGAGCGCTGCGAAGCGATGTGCATTCGCGGACTGTTCAGTGAGCGCAGCGGTGCAAGCGCTGTCTGGCAGAGAATCGTCTTGACTTTTTCTGCTCCGGGCCTTCGTGTGAAGGGATTTCTACGAGAAGTGTTTCATGGACGATCTCTTGCTCCCCCCACCGCCCGTCATCCCCGACTTTGCCTGGTGAGGTTTGCCGGCTGCGGAGGTGATGTATCCCGAGATAAGATGGGTATCGCACACATGGACACAGTGCAGGTCTCAGTTCAGAGAAAACATCGCGGAAACATTTGACAAGTAAAGACCCATAATCAGACGGCGAAGAGGGTTCCGATTCATCTGGTGGGAAGTTACTGTCTGAGGGGTGTCGTGGGTTAGTCGAAACAGTCCTAGGTGTATGCAACAGTAACTTTCCAGCCTTGCGCTCCGGTATGCAACTTTTCTGTCGTTTTGTTAAAGGCGAGCAACTGACTTGCTTCCCCTGCTGTAGGTGTTGCAAATCATTAACAATCAATCAGTCTTATATTTGCTCGAGGGCTCTTCGCTTCAGGAAGTTGGAATATAACCCATAAGGCAGGAGTTCGATTTTGTGTTCCTCTGCAGATGAGGTTTTGCCTGTCTGTGGAGAAAACCCATCATGGAAGTGTGGTACGAACGATCTTTGCTTTTTCTCTGCCGGCTCAAATCTTGCGCAACACTCTATACCGAACTAAAGTTAGGAGGAAATATGACGCAGTAAAAGATGGACCGAAAGTCTTATCCATTCGAATCTGAAAATCCGGGATCGGGGGAAAGCTGTCTGTCGTCCTGGGAATAAGGCAGGGAAATGTGCGTTATCAGGTGATAGGAGACGCAGCACCTGTCTGATGAATAGAAAGCAGCGCGCATTGCGTGCCGCTCAGGTTAGTGGAAGACACGCATAGCAGTTAAAGGAGAAGTGGGAATATCTGTGCAAAGAAAATGGCTTCCTTTGGTCATTGGCTGCTTGTGACTGTTTCATTAGTTCTGTGGCTCTGATCTGTTGAAGGATGATCCTTTCTGTTTTCTGGGTGCTTTACCCGTCTGATAGTGAAAATCTTGAGGTCACGTCTACCAACACGAGTTCAGTCCAAAATGTAGTCTTGAATCGCACAGCTCTTGTTTCAATTCAGTGCATCATCTGACCCATTTTAATGCTAAAAGCGTCTCTGAAGGAGAAATCTATATTGCAACCTAGAAAAGTAGCTCCTCACTAACTATGCTGTGACTGTAACACCTGGATGGAAATGGATTTCTTCCCTGGTTTTGTTTCACGGCCGCCATATATCCCCTGAGAAGCCTGCTAATGTCAGTATTAACAATATGTGTGGATACAGCTGAGTGATTCTGCTGGTGGATATTATAGTTCTTTTTAAAATTGTTGCTGTTTTTTTTAATGCTGAGTGAAGGAGACTAAGTTAGAGATGGAAAAAGATCAAACGCACTGCTTCTCCATGTGGTGTGCAAGCAGAACTTGTTGGCTGCAGGCTCTGGTGCTTCAGCAAGAAGAATTCGGTGGAGAGTGTGGCAGCGGGGGGTTTAATTATTTGTTGCACTTATATTGCGCTGTTCAAGGATCCAAATTCACTTTGCATAGAGGAGGGGGCCCATCCCACCTCCTCTCGCCCCATCCCTCAATGAACAGTGTCTCTGGATGTTTAATAACCAAGCAATCAGGACGTCGGATTACTGTCTTGTATGAAGGATGGAAACTCCTACTGCACAGTTACCATACTGGGACATCACATCCTTTTCAATCACAGCTTATCTGCTTCAGGGTTATGAGGGAGCCTGAGACTATCCTGGCATGAGATGGGATGCCAGTCCATCACAAGGCACACAGACACTGCCAAGCACACACTCGCACCAGGGGCCCAGTTTTCCTAGAAGCCAGTTAGGTGAGCAGTATGTCTTTGGACTGTGGGAGGACCCAGAGGAAGCCCACATGAACATGGGGAGAACATACAAGCTCCACACAGATAGCATTCTTGGAATTGAAGCCAGGGCCTAGCAGTGCTAACTGCTGTGCCACCATGCTGCTATTAAATTGACTATTTGGATTGGAAATTTGGTTCAGAGATAAAAGTGCCAACTACTGGTCCTTCAGCGCCATTCCTGGTTTTCCTTGGACTTACCAAACCCAAACTAGCTTAAAGTTAAAAAAAAAACATGGTCCAAATATGAGATCCTAGGCTGCTGGAGCCAAGGATCCCCTGTTAAGGGTTCTTAGCATAAAAGGAGAAACATGGAGAAATCCTACTGGGTTCTAGGGAAAAATACTTTTGCTTTTTTAATCTTTTAATTATCCCAAAGTACTCCTTCAGGAATAAGCTCCTTGTAGGGTTCCTGAAGAGGTTCTGTACAGATTCCTATAAACTCAGTCCTCCTTCATGAATCAGTGGCTCTTCCTGAGGGATGATTGAATTTAATCCTTTGGGATTTTTGAGTTGCAGTATAGGATTGGGAAGAAATCTTAACCTATGCAGGTTTAGGAGCTGCATTTTGAAACAGCTTTATTCATTGTAAAAGAAACGGAAGTTGACAGTGACCAGAAAAAGTGTCATAGTTCCAAGAGGCATTCTTATGTTATTTTTTCAACTAAAGGTGTACTTAAAACAGCAGGAGCTTTAAAGTAGAGTACGTTCTAAACTGTTTTTACTTGGCGAATTGCTGGAGACAGAGCAGAGATATTCCTGATTTATATATATTTGTTTTTACATCGTCACATCACTGGTTATGCAGTTATGCAAGACAGTTTATAATCGCCTGTCCCTCTTCATTTAGGAGTTGAATGGGAGCATTATTAATTTTGCTATTTTTATGCCCCTGTGGTTAGGCAGAGACATGCTAACACTCCCTCAATAGCCAAACGGTAAATCTTTTAACCAGTTTTGTTTTGATACATGGAGAATTTTGCAAACATACGTCTCCTCTAGTTTTGATCAAGATCTGTTGACAAAACACTTCTGTATTGTGTGCTCTGTGTGCCCTTTGTGTGTGAATAGGATTCCAGTTTTACTTCCAAGAACTGCTGTTGACAGATTGTGCTGCCCCAGCACATATTTTGTGTGGATCTCTCTAATTATAGATGAAAAGGGGGCAGCTGCGATAAGAGTAGTGTGAAGGTCTGTGTCGATTTCAATTTTCACAGGAAGAGGGCTAGGAATAGGTCTTTTTTTATCAGTAACCAAATATCAGGAAAATACTCCTGTTAATGGTTTGTTAAATGATAAAGTGGGACACTTAACTACCATACTTACAACACCTGGAGGGCACACGGTATTTTTGTTTTTCCACTTCTAGCCTGTAATCTCCCATTCCTCTGTGAGATACACACTGCAGCTGGTCTTTTTTCATGTGTAACCAATCAAGTGCTAATTGAATTAATGGAATCCGAAAGGGATTTTCAGCCAGGTCTTGGCTGGTCGAAGCAGGAGTTGAGCCAGTGAGAGTTGGGAATTTCGAAATCTATCCTGAATATCTTTTTTTTTTTACCTGTTGGTCATGCTCATCTCTTGTACTCGGAAACCTGATACGGTCAAGATTCTCATGGGTCTTTTGTCAAATGCAGGAGATGTCACTGTGTTAAAGGAAACTAATAATAATAATAATAATAATAATAAGAAGAAGAATTTTTACACTTATGCAGCATTTTGCTGGACATCAGATTGTGATGAAACATTGAACAAAGAGTCCAGCATGCTCTACACCTCCTTTGATCTTCCCAGTGAATCCGAGACGGGTGCGATCAGACAGCAGTTGTTTTTCTTCAGCGTGTCAGGCAAACTGCCATTTGCGCGGGAGACGATAAATGGCGGCCATTCTTGAGAGCATGAGGAGCTTTGTTTGCCTCTTCAGTGTAAACATTCTGAACTCAGCGGAGGCATGCTGTGCGGGTACTTCCAGCCTGGTCACGCGTTTACAAGTCTGCGAGTCGACAGCTTGGCTCATCGAGACTTATTTATCGGGTTGTCTAACACAGAGCTTCTATGAAGACTCATTAAGTCTAAATCTCAACGTGGTGCTGTTGCTTCTGTCCCGTTCTTTCTTGTTGGATCAGTAAGAATGGCAAAGATATAAGTATTTGCTATGACATTTTTAAAGAATTCCCAAGTTTGTTTCTGATGCGAAGCTTAACTTGGAGAATGAACTCTGAAGGGCCAGTTGCACCTCTCTGATTGTGGGTGAATGTAAATACGCTCGTAGGCAAACACCGACTGGTCCTAGGCCAGGATCTCATTCAGTCAGATGACGTGCCGAGCCTTGCACGTGTGTGGCAGTCGTGCTTTCCCGTGAGAGTGCGACGCACTGAAAGTGCAGAGGAGGAGGCGGAGCTCTGCGCTGAGACAGAGTGTTTGGCCTCAGTCGAGCTGGCCTGCGAAATGAAACATTGCAAAAGCAGTTCCTCACTTTACATGCCAGTATATCTGTGAAAAAAATAAAATTGTGTTTGGTAAATGCTGGTACAGTTAAAGTAGGCTATTCACAATGCACAGCATTCATTTTTTTGAGGTGTAAAGAAGGATGACTTTGAAACTATCAGGATTTAAAGCCTCTCAGTTAACATTTTGGTATCAGAGAGGCTTACAATTAGAGTTCAGATGACAATACCATGACTTTAGGAAAAGGGTTTTCTACAGCTGGACTGGCTTGAAAGTGCTGATCAAAACTAGATCTCTTAAGCAAA